TTTATTGGTGATGACCTCATTGGCAGGTGAGCAGGACATGGATCCAAAGGATTTAATCAGTTAGTTACTCAACCTATCTCTGAACAGGTGCGCCTGTTATCAAATATGCAGCCTTTTACTTGTGCCAGATTCCCTGCCCTATGGAAAGAATCACTGGCCCCGAAGCATAATGACAATCTGGAGAGACAGCTGATATATATATATATATATCCTTAATTACTTTTCTTCAGATATAGACATATTCACATACGCACATAACAACTCTGCTAAGAGTAAAACTGTGAAATCACAGAATTGAACTTGTTAAAGGATTTTTGAGAATGTTAATGAAGTATCTATTAAATAAGCATTTTGAGATTTGTATTTAGAATTCTGCTATTTCAGTTTCCAAGCTTTGACAGCCAGTAGAGACTCCAGCTAAACATCATAAATCTGTTTTACTGTAACAAACCTAAATATGTCATTCACTCAGTAAGCTATTTCGGATAATTGCTCAGTGTTGTTGAAATTATGTAGAATGACTGACGCGTGGTTTTGGGTTTCTGTTGTAACTATTGTGACCCAAAAGTCCTGCAAGATCTAGCAGCTCATCTCATTTGCGCTGGACAGGAGTTAATCCGCAGACTTGACCAGTGATTATCTCTCCTTGGTTAGCACAGACCTCTGCTGGACACACGCAGACAGATCTTATCACAGCTACCCGGGTGACCGGTTTCAGAGGCAGCGTGGATGCTGGCTGATAGGATATCTTAGCACGAATACACAACCACTAAACAAGCACATCAATTGTCAGGCCCGGGGACGTTCCGGGGTTTTACAGCAGGTTTCTTGATTACAGAGAGCTCGTCACTTCACTGGTCAAGCTGTAGGATCCAGGAGGATGCTCCAGTTGTTGGTCGACCAGACAGATCAATTAGGACTGTTCTGGCAACTGTATATAGGCTAATAGTCTATATATCCCCAGTATATGGTTTAAAAGTCTGGCCAGTGCGAGTCGCAGCAACTTAGTGAGTGACAGATGGCCGAGGTGCTGTATAACCCATTGATTAGACTGATGCAGTCGCAGGTCACCCCTGCAGCAGGCAGATCGCTTTACAGACCCACATTGATAGAAATGACTTTGCATCACAGCTACGATGGGGAAGTTTGGGATTTCCAAGTTGAACTTTTAACTCCACACAGAGCTTAACATAGAATACAGACGCGCTTAGGTGATAATATACCCCATGTTTATTTGCGAGGCTATTTATAACGTCGTAGATTATTTGGCAGGTTGCAAGTCTAAGGGAGCAGTCTAAGCACTAAGTCCAGCCTTACCTGGGATCTCCTGAACAGGAACATGTGCGAAGCTGAAGCCTTTCTCGATACAAGCCTCCCTCACCTCGCTGCAGTTCCGTGCTTTAAAATCTGCTCTCGCCGCAACAGACAGGAGAGAAAAAGTGCAAATGATGGTCTGTAGTCTGAGCATGGTTCACCTCTGTGGAGATCCTTTTTGTTTACGGGTCTCCGCAGTATCCCGCTTGCTGGTAAAAAACTACCCTGCAGTAGATCCGCAGGTAACCTACTGAATGACTGGGCGTTTAATGGTTGCAACTCAACTATTACTGACTACCAACACATTTCCCAAAGCTAAGCCGGGTTCTATTGCAACCGAGAATGGTTAAAAGTCCCCCGGCGTCGCGAAAAAGACGGTTGCGAGTGTGGGGGAGCCACATGAATCCAGACAGTGCGTTTTCTCGGCGTGTTGATTCAACTTCGCTGAGCAGACGAAGCCCCAGGTCGCTGCGCTGAAGTGGAACTGCTGTGTGAGAGGAGCGCTCCGCGTTCACAGGAGATGCACTGACAAGGCAGAGCGGCACACAAAATATGGAGTGGAATCAACTCTCATCGATTTAAGGGGGGGCTGCAAGTCGCCTCATACCGGAGATGTAGTGGAAATCAAAAGGGTGAATGGCAAAAATTTGCTACAACAAAATATCAGTCAGCTTTTGAAAAAAGTTAGGTTATACAGAACGCAACATTAGACAGTACTGTTGTGAACACTAAAGGCTATTTGTGGATATTATAGATAAGGTAACTAAATCACTTTTGTAAATCCTTACGTGTGTTTTATTTGGTTTACAAGACTATTTGTGAAATGTAGTTTATTCCACTTCAGCGTTTGGCTTCTATCCTACTATGAAGATGCTCAAGTGAAGGTGATTTTACAGAATTCATAAAAGGCTAAGTTCTTTTTTTTTTACCACCTTCATCTGACACCAAAGTGAAACACCACTAGTATCAAACTCTATATGTGACAAAGACCAGAAGGCAAGCTTTCATGGCTTTAATGATTTTGAAGAGCTTGATCCTGGGTAGATCAACAGTGGATTAACGTGGCTGCCATCACTGTGCAACAGATTCCTTTTGGTATGGGCTACCACACTTTGAAATGTAGGCTGCTTTAAAGTGACACTGTCTTATTTCACAGGGCGGTACTGCACTAGATGATCATGGATCAGATGGGTTCTCTTGTTTGTGGCACAAGAATCTCCACTTCCCTTTATGAAGTCACATTGGATTGCCTTCAAGACCGACTCATTAATATAAAAATCTATTAAATATGTTAACTAGGTCAAAACTATGTCCTCTGACCAATCACAAGAGCAGTTTTGCATGTCCCTCACAGGTAGCCATCAGAAATTGAAAACCCTTAATGGTCAGTGACCTTAACCTTTAAAAAGAGCGTCTCATCAGATTACAGCACTGGGGGCCTACAAACATAAGAAATAAACAGGTAAAACACTATTGGAAGCATAACCTCAGCTACAAATCTCTAAAACATGACATTCAATTAAAGGATGATAGAAACAGTGGCAACCATTATACAACTCCCTTGATCTACTCTCCACTACTTTTATACTGAGACTTTTTAACCTGGACAGTCACAGTTAATTAATGTACTCAATTTTGAAACTCGGGGGACAGTTCCAGCCAAATTAAAAGTTTTAACACAAGGAAAAATTAATGTCATGGGAAACTCTCAGGTAAGACAGCTGTCAATTTGCCTAACTAGACTGTGTCTGGATGTGTGTGTGTCAGCACTTCCGGGATATCCAGGCACTCTCAGGACAGCTAGAGATGCAGTCCCGTCTATGTGTTCTGAATTTGTCTAGGGCAAACCACAAAGATTACATTCTAATCTTTGTGGTTTGGCCGAGATTAAAAATTGTATTTTAGCATTGTATAGAATCTATACACTGCCAAAGAAAACCACAAAGATTACATTCTATACTATAGAATGTAATTTTTGTGGCTTGGCCGAGATTAAAAATTTTATAGAGATAGTGTATAGAATCTATACACGGCTAAAGAAAACAGTAAACACCATGGCCATCAAAGTGACTGAACTATAGCTGTGGCTATTGTCTTGCTACCAGTGTATTTAGCAGCAAAATGTACTTGTACAGAAATAATCTGAGCTGCCATATGCTGCCACTCTGATGGGTCTTATATGGGCATATTATCAAATGGACACACAGCTGCTCCTCAAGTCTCAGCAACCAAGATAAGTTACACATATAATCACATAAGCAGGTAATTAAACTCTCAGTCATTGTCTTGTAACTTCCTATTGGTAGTTACCATTACACCTGGTACAAAATAGAGTGAGCACCTAGGACAGCTCCTGGATCAGCACCTTGGAGAGCTCCACATCCTTACAGGTACCTGGACCTCCACATCTTGTTTCTTACAATACAGAAAGGCTGTTGTGCAGTGTTGCGATCCCCCGAGCCTACCAACCTTTTCACTTTCTCAGAGTGAGACCAACCACTTGAGGAGACTTTCTTGGTCATCAGCCAAAGCTTGTGTTTATCTGTGGGGACTGTAACCAAGATAAATCATTAAATCTGTCCCCGCATTGTCCAGCATACATCAGCTGTATCCAGTTTTCCATACTGATGGGTACTGATGGTGATCGTTTTAACCATGGATGATGATGTACACCAGGTACTATAGGTCTTCATATCCTCAATATATGTATGAAGGCAACATACAATATGTCTGTCACTCTTATGTTTTCTTTGTTTGAGTGGAAACACTGCATATAATTTTTTTATACCCTGTACTGCTCTGGACTCCATATTTCAAGTAACACTCTTTTCCAGCACATGTAACATAGGCTTGTCCCTGTAGTTCTGCCAGTCCAAAGATATTCTTCTCAACCTTGAAGAAACATGTCATTTGCTAAAACTCATAAATGTTTGTTATTTTTTACCATTTTGTGTCATGTCACGCTGCTTTAAACTCTCTGAACAAGTGATCGTCCTTGTCATTTTTGCTGGAAATAAACATTAGTCATTCAACAGCAAGAGGTCGCCTGTCAAGTAAATGTAAGCTGTGTAAAAAACACTTTTTCTTGTGAGGACAGCCTCAATCTGTCCACTGGATCATCAGATCACCAGATAAATCAATTTCTCCTGCTGCCCAAATGGTCCAAAAGATATGCTCTAAGGTTTGATTAAATAAAAGATAAAATGACATGCAGCTACAATGCTTTGGTTACATGTACAGTTTGGACAGTTTTAACATGGCAGTTTTTTTATGGGTCAGACAAAACCAATCTAATATACAGTAGGTGTCCCAGTTATTACCAGTGATTGTGACAGTTGTATAAGTTGGTCAGCTTCATGGATATGCAAGAATTATATGTGTTGAATTAATGCTATAAAGGCTAAACCTGGGCTCTGCCTTTATTTGCTATTTTTTATTGTTTCTTTTACTTTTTTATTTATTTTGCAAAAGCTATAATTATTTAACAATTTGAATATTGATTGATTCTCAACCTGCAGCATAGAGTGTACCACATGAAGAATATATTTGTGCTGGTCTGTGTCATACTGTGTCTGTTATTCTTGAACCCTTGTAATATTTATCATTGTGGAAATGTTCAGTGGATCATTATGCAGTTGTCCAACTAAAATGTTTTAGATGGGTTACTGACAGAACTGTTGCAGCACTAATCTTGAATCCATGCTATTGTATATTGTACATATGTATAGTGTGATTAATGGCTGAAGACAAATCACATCACATTACAAAGTTTTTGTTTTAAATTTCATGTCATCTTTATGATGTAGGCTATAGTCCTGTGGCTATGATTTTTCAAATACTGAGTGAAACCATTGTTTTTAGATATTTATTGCACACACATGTTAGGATAGTGCATGTATAATGAAAGAAAAAGAAAGAAAGTAAGTATAATATAACCTTTTATCATCTTATGACTGTGTCACACTGACAGTAGATAATGGAAGTTTGATTTTTGTGATGTGCAAATGCATGTGGACATACCTCACAAAAATACAGAAAGGTTCATATATATTTTCATTTAAAATGACTCTTGGTAAATGTTTTGCCTTCCTATGATAATGCTTTCTTCTGTTTTGACTATTTTTCATAGCAGATGAGGGGGGTGAATAAACTTCTGTCTGATCTGAACTGAGCAAAACTTTTCATACAGTGCACCCTGGCATCCAATTAATCTAAGATAAACCTCTTATAAAACAGCTAATATTGTATCACACATTCAAACACCACTTATATAAGTCACAAAGAATGTGTCATGAAGAATGTAATAGTTTTATGGGCAAATAGGTTTTTTTTTTATTCCAGATCTTTTGAGATATAAAGATAACGTATCTCAAGAGGCATTTTGGTTACATAGAGAGAATTCATTCAAAGGCAGAGAGAAAAAGAGCTAAGCAATAAACAACTCTAACCATGTAGAACATTTAAAAACTTGGAAATGAGTGCATTTGAGAAAGTTCCAATGTTTTTATTTTTGTTTTGTTTTTCTTTTGGCCTCCAAATGCTTTCTGCCCATATGACGTCTATTTTAGTTATATATTCTGGCACTGAAAAACTCAAATGTTTCCTGAGAGAAATGGTTTGCGTTAGTCTATAGCTTCAGCAACTATGTCCCCATTCACATTTCTCTGAGATGTGAAAAAACGGACTTCAGCATGAGTAGGCTGGAGCTGTGGGAAGACATAACATCACCTGCTACACTGAACAGATGCTCAGAGGACATGGACTCTTAATTCACTTTCAGTGAAACAAGCTGTTGTTGAGCTGGGAGGCAGAAAAGCCACGAGAGAACAATGAACAAACACCAGCTTCTCCAGTGATAAATTAGCAATCAAAATAATTAGTTACCTAGTCACCAAACCCCTGACCGAGTGCACCGCTCCCAAACCTGCACCGAAAGTGGGCACCAGTGTCATTAACTCCAGGTGAAGTATGCCTGATTATATTAAATCGGAGCTCATCTTGGATTGCTTTTGCATGAACCTCCACCTGAGAGCTCTTTGCTTGGGTTACTGGAGCATGAGGCTCATGGTTACTGAGGCTTACAAACCCATCAACTGTAATTAGAAAGGAATTTCAAGTGCAATATGCCATAAAATGTGTTTTACCTATTCTTTTATTCAGATTTTAACCTGCCCATATATCTAAAACATAACAATAAAACATGTCATCATTACTCACAATAATACAGCAAGTTTTCTGAAGGAAAAAAATGTGTCCTTGCAGCTGAAATTATGCAGTAGAATGTTTTGAAAGTTAAAAAAGTGTAGTGCCAGGATCATACAAATACTAAGTGATACTCAAGTAACAGCTGAAATTGAAGTGTTGAAATAAGTTTAAGTAACCACTGAATTAAGTCATGATTGTATTATATTATATTATATTGTGCTGTATTGTATTATATTCTTGCAGGGATAACATGATCCATTAAAGACT